AACAGTGTAGAAGATAGTTTTACATACAACGGGTAACACTGTTGAAAAGTGATAACTGCCATATTTTGTTGTGAAGAAAACTAGATAATTTGAAGGTTCAAAAACCAACGAAGTTCACGCAAACTGCTTGGCAATATCAATATGTAAAATGTTTCACTACACCTCTGCAAGTAAATCACATTAGACATTCACTAATAAACCTGTGGATGAAAAAAATCACGATACTCATCAATTTAATGTATGTGTCTTTCTGGTTGTGCAGAATCAAGTATAGACTGTTCTTCAAAATACGTTTTTGATTACATTAAAAACCTTCAGTATAATTTAAGCAAGAATAAAGTTGGGGTATAAACTTGTCTACTTTATGGAATTCAGTCGGTCGTAAATACGAAGTTATAGACCAGTAGCCCAGTTCGATTTAAGAGTTATGCTTTATTATAATATGAATTCCCGATCAATAGCTGCTACTTTGACGTGGTGGCTGAGCTTGCATATCCCTCGAGGTCTTACTATGCAACAAAGATCTGTTGGATAATGGTAGGAAGAAAAGCAGTAACCGTTGTAGTGTAAATTACTACACTGTGATGGGGATCTGAGGGTGAAGTCGTACTGCTGCTAGCTGGATGGAGAGAGTGATAGCAGTAAGGTGTTTCCCTTGGATGACCAGTAGTGCCGCGCCGATCTTGCTTTCCCGACAGGAAGAGGGCGGTACAAAAGGTAGCTGCAAACACAACACCCCCGTGCCCCACGGTCATCTGCAGCCAGTGCAATATGTTTCCCCTCTCCCACGTTAGCACAACCAGACCTCAAGATAAGAACTCACAAAGGGCCATGTGACAGGCCTCAAGCAGATGTCCCACAGGCTCTGTGGTCACACAAATCTTTTTCTCTCTCGGGTACCCTAAGAAGAAATAGTCTCCCACGGTGTGAGCAGTAGGGAAGTGTCGACCGCACGCATGCATCCAGCAGTAAAGTGCACTTCTTGACCAGATAAAAGTGAATATCTGTCTATTTGCTGTTTGGCTGCATGGATCTGAAAGAACTAGACAGGGTCGTAGGACCAACCACCGGCAATTCGTAATCTCCGCCTACCCACCCACGAACTGCAGTTCAGATGATGCAAAGGATAAATTCTATGAGAAGCTGTCAACCTTGCTACAGAAAGCAAAATTTTAAGATATAGCCATAATGACAGGTGACTTCAACGTTCAAGTAGGGAAGCTGAACTAATTGGAAGTGCATCTTGGAGGTTTCTATGGAATCTCATGCCAACAAACCGACAACGGTGATCGTCTGTTGCAATTTTGTTCCAACTTACTTGTTCCTGACCATCACTAACATCAAATATAAGGAGAGACACTGCCTCATATGTTGTCCGTCGACTTAAACCAACGACGGACATAGACAGATTACCATGCTACAGATCACTGTTGCACATGGTTGGTGGAGGATTGCTGCTCTTCCTGAAGTACCGGTTTGGACATCGATCACGCGCTAGTACTGTCTTGTGGGTACCTTTGCCTTACTGGTTTCAGAAAACAGGAGGCAGTGAGGCCCATCTGTGGTCGATTGGAAGATGAAGACGCCAAGTACACATTTAAAGAGGAGTTAGCTAAGCATTTGTCTGAATGTGACATCAATTCTCATCCTGAGGAGACCTAGCATGATATTAAGTCTGATATAGAAACAGTGGTAAAGATAGTCGGTAACTTACACCCGAAGGTTAGCAAACGTCACTGGATTTCCGCGACGTCATCCGAAGCGATTGATATGGAAAGACAGATTTCAGTTGGCTCTGACTACGATAAAGTGCAAAAGCGATTTGGAGATAAATTGGCCAGGAGTATTCGCGTCGATCATGAGCAGCGGTGGGAGGCGAAAGCGAGAGAGATAGAGAAAATATCAGCATTGAGCAAAACTCGGCAACTATTTAGGCTTGTTAAAGATATCGGCAAGAAGAAGACAATAGTTAGTGAGACCATCACCGAAAAATATGGAACGCTGATAATCTCCCAGGACGGGCGGCTAATACGTTGAACAGAAAGCTTTGAAGTATGGTTCAACAGGCCCTCAGTAACGCTTCAGTTGCCTAATATCGAGTCTGAATCTGAATGGGATGTAGATGTTAGTCCAACAACTCTTCTTTACGTTGAGAAAGCTGTTTCGAACCCGAAACTATGCAAAACACGAAAACCTGACAGTTTCCCACTGGAATTTTCTAGGGATGGAGGTAAGAAGTCACTAATAAGTGACAGAGATACTATGTAGTGTATAGGAATCAGAGGTAGTGCCGTCAGATTAGTGTACTTCACTGATCATCCCGGTCTGTAACAAGGGAGGGATATCTTCTTGTAGCAAACATTGGGGAATTAGTTTGAATAACATTATGTCCAAGACACTAGAGTCCATAGTTATCCGACGCCTATCTGGAGTACAATAATGGCGAATTCGAGAGAATGAGGAAGATTGAAGAACTGAAGGAGGAAGTATCTATCAGATTTTCACCCTTCAACAGGTCCTAAACACAGGCATACCTACAGGTGACCGACACTTGCCATATTTCTTGACCTAAAGGTGATATTTGACTCTGTCGACCGTGAGGTGTTACCGTAGTGTCTGACTGTGAACGGAGAACTGAATATATAACGCTAACCAAAGCTTTTTACTTGAACTCATGCAACCGTGTAAGGGCTTATAGAGAGTTGTCACGTGAATTGACAACAAGCAGTGGTTCCCAAGGTATGTCCATTGTCACCGTTCTTATTTAACCCCGTCATAGACGTACTAATAGACAAAACTTTAGGTAAGTCTGACCACAGGGATTGACCTACTCTTAGTCGACTTGTAGTATCCAGAAGATATTGTACTGCTGGGTGAAGACACTGGCGCAATGAGGGTCTTCTGGACGGATTGAGCAAAAATCTGAATATGTTTGGCACGCGTTTCGTACCTGTCAAGTGTAAGATGATGATTCGGGACTGGTTTGCAACGGCTCCCAGTTTAATGATAAGGAGTGAAGTAGTGGAATGTGCTGACCACCTTACTTAATTAGGGAGTTTTCATTAGCCCGAACTCGCTAGTTGCTGACGAAGTCTCAGCTCGGATACAGAAGGCTCGTTTAGCATTCGCCAACTTGCGTCACCTGCGGCGCCGGCAAGATGTTCGACTACCTATCAAAGGACCAGTATACTGCGCTGCAGTATGTTCTGTCCCGTTGGGCGGCTTTGAGGCATTGCCGTTAAAAGTAGAAGACATGAAGCAGTTATAGAGTTTTTATCACAGATGTGTTGGTAACATAGCTCGCATCTTTGTGGAATCACTGTGTTAGCAATGCTGAAGTCAGGCAAAACAGGCCGACAAATCGACTGATGAGATTGAGAACTTTAGTCGACTGAGATGGCTTGGAAATGTACTGCCTATGCCGAGCCACTGCTAACCTCGATGTGTCATGTTAAGGGGAAGCTGGATTAGGTTGGATGAGGGTTTAGTGTAGACTGACCAAGGCCTAGTACCAGTCAATGAACTACTTGTTGGTATGAGGCTTGTAGGAAGATGTAAACTACCTGGTTGGGGTCCCAGAAGGAATCAGTCATTGAAGACTCTTAGTGAAATGCCTGGAAATTGGTTACAAAGGCGTAGATGTAATCATTTCTTGATATTTTCCAAAGTTTGAATATTCGCACTAGTGGTTATCTTCGAATTGTTTATTTTCTCACCCTACTTCATCTACTTTGATATTACTCTTTCCATCCGTCTGTTTCTTGTGTACTACTGTGAAGTAAGGTAACTTGAGCCGATGCACCTATATGCGAGGTTCTAAATTGATCTTACCAGTCAATAAAATGAAGTATAACCTAGGAACCGATCACCAGCAAACAGACACGAAATTAATCTAGAAGTAAAAATATGTCGGTTTAGGCGATAACGCTGCAAAGGTATATGCAGAAAGACATGAAAACTAAAAAAATGAACGGACGAAGGGAGCGCAAAAGGTTTGTGCAGTCGTACCTACTACAGTGTGTATTTTATCTAATTACAAACTGTTGGCTGGAGGTTTGTGGTAGTAAGCCGATTGGCTGATGTCCACAGAATCGAAATCAAATAAACAGTCTTGTGCAAATTCGTGCAGCGGGTAATGAGCCACACTCATTATGTGAGGGCTAATGGTACTAACTCATCCAAACCTTGGTAAATGGAGCTATGCTATGACTTGTAGTCCACTAATCGAAGTTAACTCCTTAAACCAACTCCGCCAAGTACTTACAACCGGTAGTTTACCTTCGTTCAAATACTTCAAAACAGATTTCTAAAAGAACTGACAAAGACGATGTTATTTTCGATTCCGAACATTCCACTGCTTTCTACACACTCCATAAGTTAGGTTGTCTTTTTCGACTTGAGATTCCTTTTCATGCTTGGTGCTATGATTAAAAACTGATAAATGTCTGCGGTCTATTAACTTCCACCTAGTTGACACCATATCTAGGATTACTTTTGGTCCGTTTAACAATTCGTTTCATGCATTCAATCGGTGTGATAAGTAATTATATTACTCACATTAAGACTGACTGTATAACAAATCTACACAATAATGCTAGCCAACAAGTAGGTCCGCAATGACTTTAACAAGTTATATGGACATGACTTATGATAATACCATAGTAAAGATAAAAATTTCTTCACTGAAACCTTTGTGATAAGAGAATGCTTGTTTGATATACTTCTGAGCCAATGTCAAAAAGCACTTTATAAACGGATACTCTACGACTATCTTTAGAGATGAGCTGTACTGAATACTGAGAACCTACATTTCTTAAGACTTATGGGAGGATTCTCGAGAAGATGGAACAAAGCTAATTATCTACATGGATGTCACAATATATAAGTTATATGGTAGTGCACTATATGCACTGCAGTGCTCAGCTATAACTTAATTTTTCGAATACCAATATATAGGCAACCAAAAACCATGCAATACGTATTCAAAAGCAATAAATTACAGATTTCACAGCAGATGTTGAAGTGCCATATATGTTCCCAGCAAACTCTGCATGCTCCAAAAACTTGCCCAGAGAAATTTCGCGTAGAAACGTATCTCTATCAGTAAAGTGATAATCGACCCCATCTTTTTCTCCTGGGCGTGGTTTCCGTGTTGTATGAGACACACTGAATGCAAAACTGTTGGGAAAGTTCTTTAAAAGCATTTGAAGAAGTGTGCTTTTGCCAGCACCAGATGGTCCGGAAAACACATATATTGGCAGTTTACTCATTTCGAAGGCTGACTGAGGATTTGGTGGTATTCAGTTCAAACTACCACACAAGACAGTCACAGACACGACTTTAATCACTCACGATAAGACAACGCATAGTTCCAAAAATGTGCATCTACTTATATTAGTTGTGATTAACTTAAACAAGATTAAAAATTCAGATGGTTGGCATAGAAATGGTAAAATCTCTCGCCTAACTAGCTTACATATCCAGAAGCAGTGGACTGTTAGCTTCTGAGACTTTTAATCCAATTGCATAAGAAAGAACAAGGGTAAACACTATTCTTGGTTGCATTATGTTCTCTGGAATGAGTTGTTGTGTCATTGACTCTAGATTTTCCAACTGGCTGTTCCCCTGCTTGACCTCTGACCTTTCTGTCTTTTATCAGAAAAATCAGAGGTCAAGCAGAGCAATAGTCAACAGAAAAATCTATGCAGTCAATGGCAACAATCGAAGGAAACAACCAATCACGAACCACTTCGTCAGGGCAAGCTACTCAATCACTTATAGGGAGATATTGACAGCTCACTTCATGCTGAAATTAGTGCTGATAGTTCCGTATAGAAAGGCGATGAAAGCTCCCCTGGTAGACAACCCAGATCAGCGAAAACAAAACAACCAAGACCATCCACCTGAGCTACAAATATTCTTCACTATTTCACTAATCTATTTTGCATGCATGCAGTGAGACCTTGAGTGAAAATCTGGTTCTTCTTCGAAAAGACACCATTGTGTGTGCTGAAAAACTCCCAGAGTATGCAAAATATCAACAACTATCAAAAAGCTAAACGTTTTCCAACATCCAACATCAATGGTGTGAGTAGAGAAAGCTTGTAGTTTTCGGGCTCTCGCTTGTGGGTCTTGAGGTTTGGTTCTTTTTGTTCGGTCGTCCTCCTTCGATGGCTGCAGAAGTTTTCGCGTTTTCCTGTTCATAGCTTTGGAGGTAGTGTTTGTCTATTTGAAGGTGTTGCATTTGCAAATTGTTGCTTGGTTTGTTTAGGGGGGGGGGACGACGGAGCTGCTGGTAAGATCAATCAACCGTTTGCAATTCCTGTTGTTTTAGGCACCTGCACGTAAGTGTTAAGCGTCACTTAAAAGGTGATAGAAACGAGGTGAGTGGGGAATGAGAAAAGGAGAAGTGAAAAGTACTTTTGAAAAGATAAATGTGACTGGTAATAATATGGAGGAGAGGTGCGTTTTACTGCAGATACTAGTGTTGGGGATACAAGGGAATACAGGGATGGAGGGGCGCATCACAAGTTGCTACTAACAAATGCTCGGGGTAAGCCACTTGCGCTCACATACTCACCCAGTGGTCGTTTGAAGGAGTTGACTGATGTAGCTGTGGCCACTTCTTTCGGCAGCGCGCTCCATAAGGCATATACTCTATGGGAGAAGAAGTTAGATATCATTCTAGTCTTTGCCCTATGGTGGGGTATGCGAGTGGGGTTCCTACGGGCTGTCGGTTTTGAAAGGGGATTGTTGTCCTATTTGGGTGGTCCACTTGGTGAATGATCTTGTAGGCTGTTATCAGATCACCTCGTTTTCTCCGATAGCTTAGAGTAAACAAGTTGAGTTGTCTGAGGTGTTCGGCATGTGTTTTGCTTGTCAGTCCGACGACCAACTTTGTTGCTATTCTTTCTACCTCCTTGAGAGAGTTTGTGTCCCTCCTTAGTAATGGAGGGGCCATCGCGTTAAACACCTCTAGGTGTGGTCTAACGTAGGTTTTGAATACCATGAGGAATAACTCTGGGGTTAACAGTCCAAGCTATCTTCTTAGAAAGTGCATAATGGCGTTCGCCTTTGCTGTCATTCCCTTATAACAGCCAGTGGTAACCGCGGTGTCAGAAAAGTTCAGCACCCAGGTCGTTCTCTGTGGATACCTTGGTGATTACACGCTTGCTGAGAGTGTAGTTGATTTTCATCGTCTCTGGTGTGAGAAGATACATCACCTTGCACTTCTCCAGATTAAAGCTTAAGCCGTTTGCGGCTGATTAGGACTCTAGCTGCAACAGGTCCTTCTGGAGTATCCTAGGATCCTCTCCGTCGTCCATCGTCCCCCACACTCTGATGTCGTTGGTGATTAAGAGGACAGATGAGGAGATTTTAGGGGGGGTCGTTTATGAATAGCAGGAATAGGAGAGGCCCAGGGGTTGCTGCCTGAGAAACTCCTGTTCTTGTTTTCCTTCAGGTTGATCAAATTCTGCTTACTGTAGTGCAGAATTCTCTGTCCTCTAGGTATGCTGTATGCCGTGCTAAGAGTGGTCCAATGACACCCGTTTCTGCTAGTTTGGCAAGCATAATGCGGTGTAGGAAGCCATCAAAAGCCTTGGCCAAGTCCAAGAAGATACCGTGAACTTGTTTCATGTCCCATCTAGTAGTCCAGTCATCTCAAGCGCTCATCAAGCCTGTGGCTCATGACCGACCGATTCTGAAGCCATGCTGGGTGGGATGGAGGATGTTGTTTCTGTTAAGGTAGTCCCCAACAACATCTGCAACCAGGCCTTCCAGTACCTTGGGAAGTATGAGGAGTAATGCTTTTGGACTGTAGTTACACGGGTTCTTTCAGTCTCCTCCCCTGAAGATTAGTGAGAGGATGGTGCGTTTCAATATTACTGGTTTCAGTTGCTCATCAGATAGACCGCTCAACAGCTCCGCTATCTCACTGCTGTTCGAAGGTTCCCCAGCCTGCCCTGTGATCAGGTTTAAGCCCTTATCCGTCGGTTTGCGTTGTGACATAAACCGATACAGACTTTTCGGATTGCAGCTTAACTGTTCAGCCAAGTTGCTTTGGTATGTATACCTGTCTTCGCGACTTCTTATATTACACAGGTTGCGCAGCGTCTTCCGGTTATGAAGATCTGATTCTTTGTGCGATGTACGCCACCGGTACCACGCCTTCCTTCTCCCCTCTATCTGCCTTTGGGTTGTGCGAGTTACCCAAGACCGCTTAAGAAGTGGCCGTCTTGTTAATTTTGAGGCACTCTTTTCGATAGCGCTCCAGATAATATCTTTAACGTGTATCCAGTGTCGTCTATCGACAGTCACTGCCATTCTTATGACCATGCAGCCTCCAGGAATTCGTTGTTTATGAGGTGGTAGTCTGCCTTTCGGTAACAGTAGAACGCTTCTGGCTCAGCTTTTGGTAATGTTTCCTTGGTTATCAGAGGGAATCTCACCAGTGCATGGCCACTTTTACCTAGAGGGGGGGGGGTTGGACATAGATATTATCCACCAAAAGATCATCGTCTGTCAGAACGTAGTCGAGTAGCAGTCATCTTCCATCTGGCCCCCATCCGTTTTTTCCTCGACCGTCTCTATCAGTCCTGCTGCCACGAAAGTATATCGAAGTTTGTGTTAGAAAGATTCATGCCTACAACTTACTTCACACCCCAGGTTGAGTGCCAGTGCGTTGAAGTCTCCAGCGAGGACTACATGGTCATAGGCTGCCGAGGTGGTTGTTGAGATGGCACTAAGCTATTGTGACTTGTGCCCTGTCGTACGAAGGGGAGGCCTGTATAAAACTCCTAATAGGTGCTTGGTTTGGTTTGTGGTGAAAAAGCGCCAAAAAGAGTCTGGCAGCAAGCTGAACACACCATTAGTCGCTTCCTGGACCTTCAGATGAGTGCGAATACACGTGGCAACTCCTCCGCCTTCTTTGAACTGCCTTTCCTTTTGGAACAAGATCATGTTTGGCAAAGATATTTCATTATCCACGATATCTTCTGACAGCCGTGTCTCCGTGAGGAGAATTATGTTTGCTTGCAGATTATGGCACATTGTTTCTGTCTCCAGTAGTTTACCCCTAAGACCTCTTACACTCCTGTAGAAGCATGCTAAGCAGCTACGTTCTGGTCCCAGTGAGATATGGGGACCTGTTTGGAGGCTGGTGTGCCGTTGCATCGTATCCTGCCTGCCAGTTCCTACTGGACTGGCAGGCCTCCGCCTTTTGGCCCCTCTTGGCATCCTGCTACTTGCGTGGCGGTATTGAGTGTTGTGCCCGCAGGTAGCTTCGTAGCTAATTCTTTTCTGACTAGTACTGCTCGTAGTGTTCTCGAGAATCGCCTCCCATCTTCCAGTCTGGCAGCTAGTGGTTTACTCTCACAGCGTCGTGTGGCACCTCCTATGTGGTCCCACACGGTACCATGCGGTGAGAGTTTCTGCTAGTGATGCTTCGCGGTCAAAGCGTACAGCTGGCAACCCTGATGACGATATGTTCCAAAAGTGCGTAGGTCTTGGTAACCTACCAGCGCTGCTGGCAGGCAAATTTCCAGGTCCTACTTTTGCTGCTAACCACCTCCACTGCTCGACATCATGAAGGCAATTGTCCCACTATTTGGATTCACCCGCCAGTTCGGGTATTGCGTGCACCACCATGGTTGCAGCTTTGTGAAGACCACCTCTGATGACCCAGAGTTTGTCCGGTCTCATCCTTATGGGGTAGGAGCCCACAATGTCCGGTCGGCGCAACAGCAGCAGTATGTTCTCCTGCTGTTTCGCCATCATTGCTGATACCCCGAGTGGTGGCGGCCTATCTCTAGGTGCTTTACTTCTCCGAGATAGCCGGTATAAGTTGGTTGCGATGGTTTCTATTCCCAACTTTCTGCAGCAGTCATCCCGCTTCTCTTCGTCAGACTGTTCTCTTTTTTCTAAGAGTGAGTCTGTTGTTGTAGTGACGTTGAGCAGAGCGATGGAATCTATTCTCTTGTCCTGTAAGTGCGGAATATCGGGCTTGATAGCTAGTGCTTTCGGTCTACCCCTTAGCCTATTCGCTTCCTTCCATTCATTATCAGAGCAACCTATTTCCTCAGGTTGTTCGGTCCCGTTGGATCGTCTGGGTGGCAGCGATACAAGCGAGGACTTTATGGTGTCTCACTTGGAGGGGGGTCAATTTCTTCCCGTCCGTAGTTGTGGTACTTTTGCATATCTGTGGATCCTGACCGCACTCTGAGGGAAGACTACTGGAACTCGTTCTTTTTAACATTTTGACTGAACCAGGTTTTCCAGTTTACCAGTGGTTATAGCCTGTGATTTCCGACACTTTGGGCATATACACCACATCCATTTACATGGGCACTTCCTCATAAAGCTGCACTACTGCTCTGGCAAACCATTATCACA